ATTCCTGCACAAAGTAGAAAGAGAGCGAGCGTGTGAGAGAAAATGATGGAAAGAAAGATGTTAACAGTTCCTCTGAGCCAAATTGTTGCATAATATATTCATAATGCATCCCCTAGTGGTTAGAGATGAAAAAAGAAGAGGAGAGAGAAACTTGTTTCTTCTTATTCATGTCAGCGTGCTGGCCCAAGAAGAGAAGAATTCTGCTGATGTTAAAAGCACTGTGACACTTTAAACTCCTCTCCCAAAGCCAAATGTCACTTCAAAAACAAATAATTTGAGGTCATGCTCTGGGAAAATTGTTATCATCCTAGAAAAATAAAATATTCTGCAAGATGCATGGGAAAAGAGAAGCCTTTAGAAACATGGACACTTATGATTACTATGAATTCTTGGAATATTAAACAAGATGGTGATGAGGTAAGAAAAACAGAGACGAAAGCATCTGAGGCCAACACTTCAACACAAAAAAATGGTAATATTAACTGACAGGTGTGATATGTTGTAAAACAGAAGATGTAAAGAAAATAAGAGAGTAAGAGAGGAAAAGAGAAGGAAGGAGAGAGAGATTCATCCATCCTTACCGTGTAGGTGTCACTTTCTGTGGGTGGCTGTGAAATAGCACTGTGGAGGAGCACTGACACACATATGCACACATACAAGTTTGACACACAAGCACCCTGCATACTAATTGGTGGGAGACAGGACAGGAACACAAGTAAAACATGCACACACAAACACACACACACACACACAGCTGTTAGACAGGTTGCAGTGCCTTGAAGATGTTGTAATGTACAGAGCAGCCGAGAAGTGGTATCTGTATTTTAAAGATAGACAGAGGGAAAGAAAGTGGGGGGGGGTTAAAAAGATGACATTAGCAACTCAGAAATCACAAAATGACTTGATTCAGCCTCAGTACACACAATAAGTTGTTCTCACAGCTGAAATGGATAAATCAACTTGAAGCTAAAGCACTAGCGCCATTTTTTTTAGACAGTCAGTCAGAGCACAAACAGTTAGCTTCTTGGACCCGGTTCACTGTTTGTCAACCACACAGATTCCCCTTGATCGAAACAAGAATAAATATAATGAACCAGGCTGCCAGGTAGAAACATAAACTCTATCCTTCAGCTGAAAATAACAAAGTCAACATCACAGAAATACTTTCATACTAGTTGCTCACAGAAAGCCTGCTGTGTCTGCAGACTAGAAGTCACTGGATTGACAGTCTCACTGAGCACTGCCTCAGTTTACTGTGCATCAGTGCAGCATTGGTGGGAGCAATGAATCCTAGCTATTAGGTACATATTTTACATCAGCATTTACCGCTCAGCTGCCTCTCCTTCTCTGCACATGATGTGTTGAATCTCTATAATATGAAAGGGCATCTGTCTTTGGCAGCGGTGGACACCAAGTACATTTACTCAAGAACTGCATTACAACTTTATGTACTTTACCTGGGTAATTCAATTTTTATGGTGCTTTATACTTCTACTCCACTACCTTTTAGAGGAAAATATTGTACCTTTTGATCTTGTTTTACAAGACAACTTGTTTAACACAAAATTTATAAAGTCTGCATCAGATTAAAACCAAATCATCTTTCAGGACCTTGGTGGCTGCATAATTTAACATTAAAAGACCATCAGGCACAAGACATTAGTATATTTTGCTTACAAAGTACAATTCTGAATGCAGAACTTTTACTTGCAATGGAGTAGCAAGTAAAGGCTCTAGGTACTTCTTCCACCTCTAGTCTTTTCTGAAATGTACTATGTAGTGTAATTTGGGGCTAGATTTATGTGTATTATGTTTGCTGAGTGTAGTGAGGACCTGGCTTTTCTCCCAGCAGAGCAACACAACCATCCTTCAGTTAATATTCCTGGAGAGAAGCTATAAGTGTTTAAACTGACTATAACATAAACAAATCGCCTATTCCAACTCCACCAGACCAAAAACATAGAAAAAAAACAGGCCGATTGAAGGAATAAAAACATTCTAAGCAAATGCTGTCTGTAAAGTCAGTGAGCTCCAGTTAAAGTACGACAGGAAAGTTATGCTCACTGCCTGTCTACGTGCATAGACACACGCTCTGGTAGAAACACAGAGGCCACATTTACAGGCATTGCTTATTGTTGTATTTCATGCTGAGACAAACAGAGGGCCAAGAGGTGACGTGGACACCCTCAAATACTAGATGGATGCCATCACAGGCCATCTGTGACCTTTGCATGGAAAAAATAAGCAAAATATGCCTTCACCCTGTGAGCACAGACAGTAACACGCCACCATGCAATCAGACAACCACAGTACGTGACCTCTCTGAATTTGCCCAGTGGCCACTTACAACCAGTAAGAATGTGACCCAAAACCACCCAAAAACAAACTGACCATCAGGCCAGGGTCCAGTCACTCACTGACTTCTGAGTGCGGGCAGCAGGGATGCATGGGTGTTGCCCTGCTGCCACTGGAGATCCAGTGGCGGTGGACCTCTGGAATGCCCGTGGCAAGGATACGGGTGCCGGTTCTCAGCTGGGATGCCCTGCCACAGCAGTGGTTCCCAGAGTATCAGGTTCTGGGAAACCCCCCATGGTTCATCTAAGAGGGCAGCTGTGCCAAACCTGCAGCCACTGCTCCTCTAACCTCTCCTCTCACTCATCATTGTGTAGGAGAATGTTGGAAAATGTAACTCTGGTGCAAATGACCAACTGATTAATCAAGAAAATAACAACAGATGAATTGATATTAAAGGTAACTGTAGCAGATGCAGTTCATACATAAAAACATCTGTAATTTACAAACATTACCTCATGAAAAAATCATTATAACCTACTGTAATAAGTTTGTAGTAATTAACTTTTAGGGATTGTCTTGGCTTCTGCTAAGGCAGGCTGACCGTTTTTTAAATTCACCCAGTCAGCACAAATTAACTAGCAAAATGTCAGGTGGCTTATAAAAGCAACCACATGGGAACCAGGAAAAACACACAGTAAATTACAGGATGGTCACATGTTGTAGCCTACACATACTGTGACTAGCTTTGTTTTGTTCTACTCGGTTGTGTGTGCAACAGCCTGACAACATGGTGGCCTAGCGCACTGCAGCTGCGCTCTGTTACCTTTGTGGCAGTGAACCTGCATATCCATAAACAGGGGGTCTCCATCTCACACAGCCCAACTCCTGTTCTGGGAAACTCCACAGTCAATGATGGACAGTGGACTGCGGGAGAGATTCACATACTGCCATATATCTCCCCTGAGCTGTTCTGCTCTCCCAGCAGTGATGCTGCTCTGTCTCCCTCTGTATAAAAAGTGTTAACGTGCTGTGATATATTAGTGTATGTAGATAATGTGACACAAGATGACAGGCTGCTCTCAGGGGAACAGTGCTCCTTCCTGTTGCCTTTATAATCCCACTTGTTACAGTGACAGTGGAGCTGTCAGTTGTTAGCTATTGGGATTATACTGTATAAACAAGGATAAAATACACTGTCACAGTAGAAAAGCTGGATGCTCTGTCTGCAGTGTCACTCAGGTACCAAGACTGTCTGTGTTTGATGCTGGCACCTGTTTCTCTAGTTCAACACAAGCTGCAGCTCTCACTCAGAAATTTGTCAAAGAATTTCACCCAAACTGACTGACTGCAGTTTTCACCAAGTGACTAAAATTGCTGAGATTGTGACACTGATTCTAAGTGAGGTGGAAGATTTTTGCAACATACTGTACAATAGCACATGCCCTGTGACTCACTGCCTCTCTTCCTGTCTACCCCCCTATTACAGTCTCTGAAACACTGAGCCAGGAAGCAAACTACAGAGACTATGGGCCACGTTATCTTGGCTCTTGTGACAAGCCAAGTGTAGCTGGGAGAGCAAGACAGAAAGCAGGCCAGTTGTGTAGCTGTGACGTGTATGGCCTGTACCAGAAAAGCGGGTAAGAAGTACATCTCACCTCCATTGCCTCTTAAATCTAACAGCAAACATAAGTCATCCAGCAGTTCTCTGTTGCCACATCTCTTCGTACATACAAGTAAGACATTAAAGAAAGAAAGAAAAACTCACAGATGAATTTCTTCTCTCTTGTCTTGTGTCTCAGTCTCCCTCTGACCGGTGTGACTTCTATTAGCTGTGGTTGTCCCGGAAAGTGGTCGTTTAAACTCCTGCCTGTATGACCCTGAGAGAGTGAGTGGGGAGACCAACAGCTGGAGCCGCTGAACACATGCAAAGGGAGTGAAAGAGAGAAAGCAAGACAGAAAGAGGAGAGAAGAGGGAGGAGAGAGGGACAGCCCATTCTTACCCCCCCTCTAGCCCCCTGCACTGCCATCCTCCACTCTCCAAACTCCCTCTCACTGACCCCCCAGGATGCAAATTCCTGGTCTGCAGCCCAAATACCAAAATTCCAAATCTGGCCAAACCGTAGGCGAAACAACAACTCACAGATTCTCACACACACACACACACATGCCCCCTCTAACCGGTCCCACAACACACCTGGTTTCATTTAAACTAAACCCCCGCAAAAGCCCCAAGCTCTCCCTCCCTTTCCTCCCTCCCTTTTCCCATTTACCCCCCATCTATCTACATGTACCTCCCCCATCTTGTCCTCTTTTTTCCATAAAGCCTTTGCTATCTTCCAATCTGACATGCAGGATATTTATAGCCGGCAAAAAAGTTAATGGAATGTGGTCAAAAATTAAAGTGTGGAGAAGAAGAGTCGTATTTGGAAAATTTGGCAGCTTATTTTCACAGAATTCACTGGTGACGCTTTTGGGATAGAATACTGAAAATAAACCATTATTCTAAACCAGCTTTCCAACTGTGCTGCTCTGTTTGTACATGACTAATCCATCACTGCACTTGGAACCATTTCCGGCAGTATTTTTTTCTTGGAAAGTTTGCAGTGTTATGTTGCAAACTGGTTAAGAGCTTGCTTAACCCACACTTGTCTTCATATGATTAAGTCTGACTCAAAGTCAAACTTTGGCACTTCCCATAAAATAAAAGTCCTGTCAAAATTAAATTAGCAGCAGCCACATTAGTATAATTGCAGGCTTCATTCCAAGATACTTAAAAAAAAAAAAGTAGCATTCGCCTGCATCAAGCTTACGATCAAATACTTTAATATGTATACTAACCTTTACAATCATGCTATTTTCAAATTTAAGGGAGCAATTACTGTATTTTTATCCAGTTTTGTCAAAGTGAATCTCCAGTGTTTAGGTTTAAAACCCTTTATTTAGCTTCATCTGTGCTGTGCTTATGGGTGGTGACAGAGATAGCAGCTGTTATTACAGGGAGTGTTGTTAAAAATTACACCGGCAACCCCCCTAGTTGAACCAACTGTGCACCCCCCCCGTTGATCCCATGACCACACATGGACATCCCACACATCTCAAGTAATAATACATGTAAACTTGCTGGTTATATTTAAAATCTTAAAACAGTTTCCACTGCATACTGAGTGCAGACTGCTAAAGCACAGCTTCACAACTCTGCAGTCTTCACATTTGCAGTATGATTTATATCTCCTCCCTTTCTTTCTGTCTCTAATCTCCATCCAACACACAAGATTAGTGAATCCTGTCTCTGGAAAGAATCAATGACCACATCTCTTCCATATAACAGCATATAAAACGATAACATAATACACAGTGACATTTAAAGGCTAAGATAACGGCTTCAGTAGGGGGAAACCAAACCAAAAGAGCAGGCCAAAGAGAGGGGGCAAGCCATGAAGAAAAAGCTTCAGTCATGATACATTTTGAAGATGCAGCTTTTGATGACGACCATGTATCTATCCCACACAACCTGATGTCTGAGAGACAGAAAGAGAGAGACAGAGAGTAAAGTATTAAGTAAATGGAGCAAAGGAGCCAGTGTAAGACTTATGACAAACCAATTGTGAAATCTGGGTCAAGAGAGTAAATGAGGCAATCTATTTTGTTAAGCATGTAGTGGTGGAGGGCTGTCTCAACCCTTAACTACATTCCTGAATGTTTGGATGAGAAACAAGGTAACTACAGTTTAAGAAATCAGGGGTGATATGGTGACACCCACTGGTAGAACAGGGGCATCAATATCACAGAGGGTTTTAACATCACCAACTTAATGCTTATAGTAAAATACTCTGCCAGTTTGTAATGAGTGCAAACATACATGTCCTAACTGGGTTATTTGTTAGTGTTCCCACAGCTCTCTACAAAAGAACGACTATAATTTTAGCTCTGGCTGTCCCTTTGGGAACTGATAACTCTCCCAGGGTTGGTGCCACGCTCTGCCTGATAAGTTTTACAGAATAAAGAGCACATTAACTCACTTGAATGTGTCGAGTGTGTGTGCAGAGTTGCTGTATTGAGTGAGGTAGAGTTTCATGTCCGCAGCTGTCCATCGGTCTGAACGGCAAGGCTCAATAAACTAGGGGAGAAAGTGGGGGGCGATGTTACATCACACCGTCTCCGAGACAGACTGGCACAGGCATCAGAAAATTTGGGCTGGACAGCCTGTCTTTGCTTACAACACTTATGAAAAAAGAAACTACATTTTTTCAAAAAGGTACAAACCTTCTCCACAAGATCAATGAAGAAATCTCTGACATCTTTTGTGTTGGTTAACTTCGCGGCGATGTTAACAAGACCTCTGGAAAGGTTCTACAAAAAGACAAAGTTGTATTCACATGACATGCTGACTTGACAACATGGTACTTACTCAAAAATTGCATCTAAAAATTCTCTTCTCATTAGCATCACCTTTCACTGTAACAGTTACTGAGTGAATATATAGGAGCAGATCAGCTGAACTGTTTCTCACCTTGAAATTAGCCTCCATCTCATTAAAAGCTTTTGTCTTTCCTCTGAGAGCTGTGCAGACCAAGCTAAACACAGGAGAGAACAGACACTTAGAAATAAGGCAAGGTGGGTTAAGTTATATTGAAAAGTCAGTCAGCAGTGAATATTTGTGGGGTTTTCTGTGTTTGTTACCTTTTGTGTTGATCCAGCAGATCTTTGTCAGTGATTAAAATCCTCAGTTCCTTAAGATCTTGCAAAAATTCTTTATCAAGATCGACATCCATGTCTTCCACCATGCTATCTACAAAGAGAACTCAAGTCAGACACTGTCAAATCAGTTTAAAGCATGTTTGTCCTTATTATCAGTCTTTTTCTTACAATTATTCTAACCCCATTTACTTTTTTCACTTTAATTGGTAATTTCCAAAATTTGATTTAATCCTTGCAGACCAGTAAAACCTGGAGGACCTCTGGTGGTCAGTGGGTCTCACTGTTAGAACTACTCTAAATGTTCCTTATTTAAAATACATAGCCAACATAGACAGCACACCTCTTGTTCTCAAGTGAGGCCTTTAAAGGAAACTCTTTACAAACCCTGTCAGTTTCAAATGTTTATTTTTATTGCCAAAACTAATGTTATTTCACTGCAACTCTAAAACAAATGAAAACAATTCGGTTTGATGAATGTGTTACATAACTGTTAAAAAATGGTATTACATCCTAACATCTTATGGCAGTAAACTTGCCAAAGGAAACAACAGAAATCGCTCACCAAGGGCCCCAACGGTCCAGTTATTGATAAGCTGCCCGGCACAGAAAGCAAAATCTTGGAAAGTTAGATATTGTAGTTTCCTTTTCCCCGTCTCAAAGCGATTATTGGCAAAGAAAACAATGGCGGCATAATCCCTGGAAGAGGCAGAGAAGGCAGGGCAGGAAAGAACAAAACAGAACAAGACAATACAAAAGAACTTTACTAGTTTGGATATCGTAAACACCAGGCTTTCCTGGCATTTGTCAGAATTAGCAAACATTAGAAAACCATGTAGTAATTCAGCATAAGAACTACAAAATTAGATTAGAAACAATACTGATGCCTTGAAAAATAAACCAGAGAGCAAAAAAGCTTGTACTCTGTTCTTCACACTGATTACCTTGCAAGCTTGTCAGAAAGAAGAAAATGCTGACGTATGTTCTCCACCAGGGGTCCCTTCAGCTCTTCTACAACTTTGAAAACACGTTTGAAGTTGTCAAACTGAAATTAAACACATGACGCAGGAGAATTTCTAAAATTACAACAGCATGGCTTGTGTAAAATCTGCCTGAGTATTTGCTCTGCAGACATTCAGCTTGCTCAACACAACTAATAAACCATACCCATTATTAGAAAAATGCTAGACAAAGAAAAATCTGAAAATCGGCTGTTGGAACCTGCTCTTCACTAAAAACAAAAAGCAATAAAGTGAGCTTTTTATGTAGCTATGAGTGGCTATATACATTTATTATATGAAGGTGAAAGGCAGACCAGAACCATGACAAGAGAATGTTTCAGAACTGCAGTGTGCTATCAACACAAACAAATGAACATCTTTGTGGAGCTCAGAATGTGTTTTACCTGCCGTCGGCAGCTTTTCAGTGTCACACCTGTCTTGGCACTGATATCGTCCAAGTCTTTCTTGGTTCCTTTGGAGAGTTTTTTTCCCAGGACCTCACGGACAAATGCATCATCAAAGGCATAATATCTAAACAAGGAAAACACACAGGCAAAAGAAGAAACTTGTAAGAAAATATTCTCACCTATAGTGTCAGGTTTAACAGAGGAGAACAACCTATTTCAAGTCAGATGTACATTCCAAAGATTAAAAAAAAATTATCATAAATCCTTGACTGAATGTTGAGAGATGCCGTCAATTCAGAAGGTAATCAGACCATTTCAAATTTTCCACATTTTATGTTTCAGACTCATCTTACAATGGATTAAAAAAATTTCTCATCAAGCTACACACAATACTAAACAATAACAAAGTGTAAACAGGTTTTTGGAATAGTTTGTTAATAAAAAATAAATAAATAAAAGTGAAATATCCTATTTAGATGAGTATTCAGACCCTTTGTTATGACATGTGCAATATAGCTCTGGCGTATCCCACTCCTATCAATCATCCTTGAGATGCTTCTACAACTTGATGAGAGTCCAACTGTGCCAAATTTAATTTACTGGACATAATTAGGAAAGGCACACACCTGTCTATATATGCAAAGTCTCATCGTTAACGGTGTATGTCAGAGTGAAAACAAAGCCATGAGGTCGAGAGAATTGTCTATAGACCTGGGAGACACGACTATGTCAAGACAGATCTGGGGAAGGATACAGAAACATTTCTGCAGCATTAAAAGTGCCTCAAGGGAACTCAAGGGTCACTATGAATGAGATCCAGAGTTACTTTCTGGAGATGAAAGAGCCTTACAGAAGGACAACCATCTGCAGAGCACTCCACCAGTCAGGCCTCTATGGTAGAGTGGCCAGACGGAGGTCATTCCTCACTAAAAGACAAATGACAGCCTGCTAGGAGTTTGACAAAAGGCCCCTGAAGGACTCAGACCATGAGAAACAACCCATCCAAACTGGCTGACAACAAATGATTCTGCCAAGAAGAATGGAAGAAATTTCCAAAAGAAAGGTGTGCCGAGCTTGCAGATTTATTCTCCATAAGGCTGTCATTGCTGCCAAAGGTGCTTTAACCAAGTACTAAGTGAAGGATCTGAATACTTATGTAGTCTTTTATTTTTAGTACATTTACAAAACACTCTAAAACCTGTTTTTCCTTTGTCATTGTCAAGTATTCTAGGTAGATTGATGAGAAAAAATGAATCCATTTTAAGATGAGTTTGAAACATCACAAAATGTGGAAAACCTGAAAGGGTCTGAAAACTTTTTTTTAAGTGTGTCATGCCTTCAGATTAGATCACAGACTAGAAACACATCAGATAAATGAAGCAGAATATATGTGAGCATCATTACTGCACCTTTCTATGAGGATGGCTTGTCGATGAGGTGGGATCTGAAACAGCAGCTGGTTGGCTAGCTTGGTTGGACTGTGAAGCAGACGCTCACACATCTGAAAAGTCCTGTACTGGTCCATGGTGTCACTTAGCAGAACATCTGCACTTGCTTCAAACTCCTCCAGCACTCCTCCCTCCATTCGCACCTTCACAGCATCATTCACTGGAAAAAAAAAAACAACCACAGCTCACATACTTCATGATCCAATCATGGCTGAAGTTGTGAAAAATATTTGCTTCCTCATCTCCTCAAACAAATTTTCTTTCTTTTGTCCATGTTCAGTGTTGTGCACACAATGGAGACACCTGTGATACTACTTAAAGACGTCTGCTTGAAAGAGGACTACTATCCAATCACCTATCACCACTTCCAAGTGTCACCAGTTTTGTGTAGACCATTTTAGAAGATATTTGCAGAACAATCATGAATTCTGTTCTTTTCATAGCTGCTTTGTTTTATACTATGGCAAACCAAAGGCACGCAGGTATACATGGAAAAAAAAGCTTTTAATTTCAACACTTTTCAGAAAAGTGCTGTTTCAGTGAGGTAGATGCTGAAGTATCTGTGCAGCTCATCATGTGTTTTACTGTAAATCACTGGTTCCTAACATTTGGTTTGTGTCACTTAAAAACCCTTTGTTTATTCAAAGAAATTCCCCTTTTGCTACCAGCTCAACTAAACACGGATGTTGCCTTCTGAGATGGTTTTGTTTAAACTGTGGCGGACTGGGAACAAATGTATTAAAGTATGCATTAGTCAAACTCCAGTAAAACCCAGATTTTTCACATCTTTGGAGAAATACCTTAAATATGCAAGGATTCTGTAACCGCACCCCAATTCATCATGATGTCCTAAATAAATATAAGGTGTGACCCATACCTGAATATCCATCCAGCCAGAGTTGATAAACCTCCTCATCCATGATTGTGGTGTTACCCACGAACACATCCAGCTCCACTGCCATCTGTCTGGAGACAAAAAAAGCAAAGGCAACATAGTGAGAATATGATTAAGAGTTTAAGTAACCATCAACAATCAGGTGTCAGATCAGTTCAACGCCATAAAAGTGCCAAACAGCCGAAGGGGTTAGATTATACCTTATTTTGACTGTTGCCTCAAGTCGTTTTAGTCAGTGAGCTACAATAAAAGTTGACCTACAAAGAATATCGTTAGCGTCTATTAGCTTAGCTAAAACTTACTTTCCATTGCTTATTAATTAGCTAATGTCCTTAGGTATCCCTGCTATGCTAGCTGCAAAGTAAGCAGCGCAAGCGGAGACTAAACTGACAAGCAGACCTCAAAACGGTAAATTAAAACCAAATAAATATGACGGTATATTCAGGTCATCAGAGCAAATCTAACGTTTATATTTATAGCACGAATAGCTACTGAATAATAGCTTCAGCGCATTACTATCGGTGCACAGTGTCAACACCAGAAGTCATGAAACACGAACTTCCGGGTTTTGTTACGTCACAGGAAAGCCACTATTTTTGCTGTTTTTTACTGCTAGTTCAGTCCAGAGGCAAATACTGTACTTTTTATACCACTACAATTATTTGACGGATTTAGTCAATAATTACTTTGCAGATTCCAATTAGAAATTCAAAATGTAATTACAATATCTGAAATATCATGTTTTAGTAAAAAGTCAAGATATGATTTTAGTGATCCCTGTGACAAATTCACAAGCTATCAGTAAGCTATATAAAGTAGCGTACTTAAAATGAGCTCCATCTTTACTAACTGCAACATTTAAGTGATGCACAAATTAATGCATCAATCATTTGAATAACTCTCTTTTGTTTTGTTTGTTTTATTTGTTTGTTTTTTATGAGGTTGTTTTGAATGTCCTTATCCTCATTTTGTATCTCTTTGCGGCTGTGTTGCATCAAATTTACTCATTTTGCGTCTATCTGTTGTTGATTGACATTCCAGAAATAAATTTAGTCATTCACTTCGTGTGGCTCTGGTCCATTGGCCCCCTGATCCCTATGGCCCCTGAGCCTGAGCCCTGTAGTCCCATTCATCCCATGTAGTTACGAGATCCAGATCTCGAAATTGTGAGACATTAAATCATAATTACGCGATAATGATGCACTTTCTTCCAATTGTGAATGTAATGCCCCTTCGCTTATTTCTAGAGTTTCCGCTTTATTCTGAAATACTCATACCGGAAATGTTATTTGTTTCATGGCTACCGTTTCTTGACAGTACCGCTGCTCACTGAGATCGCTCCATTTAACAGTCTAATCCGTCTGCCTTCTTTTGTTGTTGCTTATTCGCTACATTGTAACACTGAATGCTCCAACCGTTCTTGCATCGCATCATTATGTGTGTAATTAATGCTTGCTCGTTGTTTCCATGGTTACAGTGAAGCCAATAAAGCAGACATCACCTCTATCAAGATGAGTAACATCTGAAAATGAGTGCGGTTACATAATACCGTAATTTGCCATTTCTATGGAAAAGCGTGAATACCCATCTTAAATGTGTGATTTAAGATGCGTATAGTCTCAATGGAGGGTTACTTGTTATTGCTTTAGCCGTTTATTTATCTACATAAACCTAACAAAGTCAACTATGGCCTTCAAAAATCAAACGACAATCAACATCACATTTCATTTTTCTTTTGGCGATTAATCTAAATAAATCCCTGTAAATCCCTCTCCTTGTCTCCCCCCCCCCTCTTGTGTTTCTGTATTTTCAAAATCAGAACATCAGTGAAACAATGGAGGTGGGGCAGAGGGCGGAAGGATGTGGCTGAATGCCTCAGTATAAACCCATGGAAAAAAAGTCACAGTTACTCTTTCCGACCTTGTTCTTTGAAAAGTACAACCAGGAGTCTCTCATAACTTGTAGTGTAAGTGACACATTTCTCTGGAGTGAACTCTAAAAGCAACATGTCTGTTTCTAAGTTTTTTTCCCCAGCAAACTCTAAAAGCATGTCTCCCATGTTTTGCCAAGTGTAAATTTGGGGATAAAAATCTGTTCATGTTCTCTCTTTGGTTTTGAAGATGAGCTCATTCGAGTGAATAACCCCAAAGAGGAAGAGGTTTAACCTTTCCTACTAAGTAGCTTTGTAAGTTATTTATATTGTTTTGTATTAAATTGTATTAAATATGACAAGGGTTAAAATCTTTTGGGTCCAAATAAGGGCGCACAACACATGGAGCACGAGCAGATGGTCTTGATGTTTGTCAGCTGAGATGACAGTGGGATCACGGACCTGGTTGACTGTATTTTTCCATTTAGCCTACAACCACGCTGTAAGTATAGGCCTATGTCGTCGAGCCACTGGAAACCTCAGAGGAAACCGCAAATGTTTCTGATGACAACCGACATGTTGAAGTGCCATCATAAAAAGTAAAACTTCCTCAAAATCGCACAAATTAAAACCAATGTTGTTGAAAAGCATGACTGCATTGAAACACGAGTAACACACCAACAATAAAAGTAAAACCTGCGATGAGTAAAAAAAACTACATTGTAGTTAAACATTCCCTAAAATATAGCTTTGCAGTACATCTCCCTCACATCTTTTATTAAATTCTTACAAGCCAGTGCCTTTATTTTGAAAGCTGCAGGCGGCGATTTTCAACACGGTCTCAACTTGACACGCAAGTCGCTGATTGGGAGTCACAGCCGTGAAAGTGTCGGAGGAGGACATTGTTGTGGTAACAGTCCATCTCAAGGATGGTGCACTGATTTTGAATGGATAATAGGCAATACTGGATTGTGATTTATTTATTATTTTTGTAATGTAATAATGAATCGTTTGTAAAGACACAAAAGCTGCTGCAGCGTACGAACTATTCTTCTGTAGCCACTGGGGCAGTGAGTTCATTCAGCCCAGGAGAGCGGAGCAGCCTGATGAGACGATACCAGCCACGTAAAAATCACATCTGCAGGGTGTGCATCCGAGGCTGCTGGATTAAGGCTCCGTGGATCGATCGGGCCTTTGCACATACAACATAGGAAAGCCCACGGGGCGATTGTTGGCTTCAAAATATTGCGAAAGTAGGTAATAAAAGGACTGTTGAATTCCTGGAGGCCTTTGGAGAGCACAGCTTACTGTTGCGAGGACGGTAGACTGACATTAATGGAGGTTTGTGGTTCATTTTCATACACGACTTGGACAAAGTAATCTGAATAAAGACATCAAATGTTTCTGCCTTGATCGGGCCTCCAGTGCCATAGTGACTGCATACATGCCATCTGACAGACACAAGATGAAGAAGAGGACGAGGATGTGAAGACTGTGACTGTGTTGAGCATTGAAGCATCCGGCCACATCTCAGCGTTTTAATAAATTCTCAGGTGCCCTCTAGGTGAAGGTTTTAAATAGAACATGGGTAGCGAAAGCGAGATAATAAATAGAGAACTATCAAAGATGTCTGACGAGGATTTGCTGGCTTGCTCCAAAGAGGAGCTGGTGAGCCGGTTGCGTAAAGAAGAGTCAGAGAAAATATCAGCTCTCATCCAGCGAGGACGGCTGATAAAAGAGGTAAATAAACAGCTGCAGGGACACCTCCTTGAAATCAGGGAATTGAAAGTCATCAATCAGCGCCTACAGGAGGAAAACGTGGAGCTGCGGGACCTATGCTGCTTCCTAGACGACGACCGGCTTAAAGTGAAGAAGCTGGCCAGGGAATGGCAGCTGTTCGGGCATCACGCCGCAAAAGTGATGCGGGAGGACCTGGGCGGGTACTTGAAAAAGCTCGCCGACCTGGAGCGCATGCAGGACGGCCTGGTGAAGGAGAATTTGGACCTGAAAGAGCTGTGCCTGGTCCTCGAGGAGGAGTGTGTCAGCAGGAGTGACTCCAGCCCCGGCGGATCCACCGAGCTCAATCTGCCCTGCATGGTGGCCCGGGACTTGGGAGACGGAAGCTCGAGCACAGGCAGCGTGGGAAGCCCCGACCAGCTTCACCTAGTGTGCTCACCTGATGACTGATGACAAGTTTATGTCAAGCAGCTTGGGCTCCTGCGACCTGCATAAGGAAGCTGCAGGGGTGATGTGACTGACAGAACAGGAGGCACAGCAGCTTTGTCAGACAGTGCAAATTAAACTGGAGCAACAGCATTAGGGCATTCTGAATGCTGCAAAGATCTGTGTGCCACTAGGTTTTGTAATGAAAAAGATTCTACCACTATAGACATTTTCAAGACATTACAAAGACCTTTAAAAGATGTTTGCCAGTTGACACTCTATCTAAATTTTACAGTGTTTTTCTAAGGACTCTTCTGCTTATGGGAAATTCTCATTTTCAGTGGTCTGTTGTTGGAAAAAAAAAATGGGACCAAAAAGTGGGTCACATATATAAATTTATCTCATGCACTGGACTAGCCTACACTGGTAGAAGCCTTTTTCCTATTGCACTGGACAGCGTTATCATGGATCTTTAAATCATAGATCTAAAGATTCATTTCAATCCAGTTTGAGCCATATTTAGTTCACTGAATTTCAATAGCACTGAAATAGATGAGTTGTGATAAAAAATTAAAAAAAACATGGAACTATTTGATATTTGCTTTTGCTAGATGCCCAATAATGTGTAATATTTATGCACTCTCTTCCTCAGGGCAGGATTGGAGTGCCATATGTGCATGAGGATTGTCACAATTTGTACATGCCTGTGAAGCAGTCTGATGTGAAGGCCCCTTCAGGTTTACGTACTGCGGGTGGGGCTGTTGTGCATAATGTAACACATGCTAGATCCTGCAGAGCCAGTACACCCATTAAGGGTTTAGATCAGACATGAATGATAGATGTCCTTAGACTTCACTCAGAGCTGAACTGGATAAGTTATCACTTTTTTAATCCAACTGGGAACTCTTTGTATCAAACTGGAAGGTCTACACATTCTGATCATTTCTATTGTAGCCAGGCTGTTTAAATTCACTTACAGGACATTTTTTATGACGTTGTTGTTGATGATGTTCAATATGCATATCACAGTTTGTTTAAGTTCGTGATGGTCAGTTCTTTTTTCTGAAACTCATACTTTGTATTTGCCCTGTAACATTAAGGATAGTCTTAACTTTGACCCATCTTTATTGATTTATTTGTATTAACTAGCATTACTAACCAATTTCAGTTTAAACCATAGATAATACACATGGATTAGAAAAGATTTATTTTGTTGTTAGCTGTTTATTGGTGGGCTATGCTCGTAGTGAAATGAAGAGCTTTAAATGCAGTGACACTTTCTGCTGTTCTGACTTTTCTTTGTGTGTTTGACTTTTCAGAAACAATCATTTATATTTACATTACACAGAACCACTGTAGCAGGTTTGACCTTCATGTCTGAACAGACTGCATTTGACTGATGGCCCCTTCATGTCATATAGACTGACTTTATGGATTTTCATCGGTTTTATTTTTGGATACCTATTTGCAGCTGAAGAGGGCAGTAATGCTTTTACCCACTTGGTGATGCACCAATGTCTTTTGACAGCCACATATATACTGATTATTTTCTTTCCCTCATGCTAGCTAGTTCTCAATCTAACTCTTTCTATCTCTGGCTTTCTCTCTAACCCCATTTTGGCAGAGTGAGCCAATGCTTTCTGAGCCATGTATGTATTAGCAAAAGATTCATTTCATTTAGAAGAACTAGAGTAACAGAGAACATAGTGTTCACAGTGGAAAAACATAGGAGGCGTTTGGAGTATACTGCAGCCAGCAAACCTTTTTCCTGAATGTCAGTAAAAGGACTGCAGCTTAGTTCATCATTTAATATGTAAATTCTCAAAATAAGTCCATTATAATTCCCCAGAGTTAAAGGCTATGTGCTCAAATTTCAACTTTTTTCTAACCAACAGTCCAAACCCCAAAAATATTTAGTTTATATTGATATAAAACATTAAAAAACAGATAATCTTCACGTTGGAGAAGCTGCTACCAGAGCACATTTAACAATTTTGCTTGAATAAATGCATGAAATGATTAATCATGAACCAAAGCTAATCATTTGATCATCTACACATTTTATTCCTACTGTATTTGGGTTATTCTGGTGTCTCAGTGTTTGACAAAATGTCAGTTTTTTTGTTTGCAAACTTTAACATGATTCACATTCAACTGAATCTGATTGTGTTGTTTTTGAGATACATTTCAGTCTAATCACATCATTCTATTGTCATAGTTTTGTGCTTTACAAATATTACATCATCACAATTTCCACACAGTTATGAACATTTGTTCTTTATTGTCTGTAAAGTAGCTTTGACAAAAGATAAAAGTAAGGCACTGCCCACCAAAAGTTAATTTGTCAGAAAAGAAAATATCAAAAATATATTACACTCTCAAAAATAAATATGATTAATCTGTATTAACTCCTATGGCCCAGCCTTAGTGGTCAATAACATGCATAGACAATACTCTTTATAGAGTCATCCAAAATTACAGCCCATTTATTTGTAGGTACTTAGTTTCCCTTATTGAGTGCATAAGGTGTTACAAAGAATGATGTAACAGTGTAATAAGTCATTAAATGCAACAATATGCTGACTTATCACAATTGATATGTCATTAGATATATAGATCACCTTTTCTAGAAAGATCGTACAGTTCTTTAGAGAATATATTCTGCATGCAACTCTTTCATAATAAACCTCAAACACACTGATTTAATCAAAAATTAGAAATATAAAGTCTGTCTATTTCTATCAAAAAAGAGTGTAACATTCGTATCCTGATAATGCCACAAATTTGCATGTTACAAAAGTACAGGATCTACTTTCTAAACAGATGAAATGAAGCTGGTAGCTCATTTTGAAATGGTTATTACAACCTTCACTTTCAGGTCTGTCATGTTCCCCACACATCCTTTGTGTCACACACATTATCACTGCACCAAAATGAATGTTAGTGTTTTGCCAGGATGACAGGGCGGTCAATCACAGCGTGAGGATGGTCGGAGAATGCAAGGAGTGATCTGACTGGTCACCACTGCTGCTGCTGCGGCGATGAGCTATCCCACAAGGCTGAGCAGCTTGAGACTGTTGGACATTTCCCTGATGTGATGCAGCATGAGATGTGACCGAGGTGCTGTTGTCTAAAGAGGTTGAGGGATAGGTGAAAACCATACCAGACGTAAAAGGTGTGAAAGACGGAGTAGATGTGAGAACCGGGGTGTGAAGTGACTCTGACTCGGTGGTAACAGTAGAGGGAGTCGATGTCGCAGGCCTGGTGGGGATAGTTATCTTTGGTTTGGGTTTCTCCATCTTTCTTGGCAGTTTGGTTGAGGGTCCAGGTCTGCTGCAGTCCTCTGGCTCCATTTTGATGCCTCCCAAAGAGGAAATTGATGGGTTTGGGTCAGAATCTGAATCAGAGTCCTCTATTTTACAAATGGGACGGTGAGCTTCCAGAACCAGCTCAAGCTTGTCTTTCTGCTTTTGTAACTCAGCTATTTCCTTCTGTAGACGGGACTTTTCATCCTCCAGCTGGTCGGTCTCCTACACCAGGGGAAAGCAGAGAAAAACAGACATAGATGTAATTTGTCTAATGCTCGACTGAGACTAATACCTTGTACTTCAAGCATTAATATTAAGACATTTTGTACAAAGTTCACTCACACTTTGCAGCGAGTCTGTCAGCTCCCGGCGGCGATTGCGACATTTTGCTGCTGCCAATTTATTCCGCTCCCTTCTTATTCTGCGTCTCTCCAACTCTTCCTGGGATAACTTTGAGAGAATGAGATGTAAATAAGATTAAAATACATTAAATAGGTTGGCCTGACAAAGTAAAACAACAGAGTCAAACTCTAAGTCCCATTTCATGTTTTAAGCTGGTTTGTGTAACCTTCTTGCTTTGGGCAAACAAGTAATTACAAGATATCAAATGTACAGGGAGTCATGTTGAGTCTATAGGTAACATGACACAAGAGAAATACTACCACCATGTGTGTGCACTGAGTCATCACAGTCATGGCGACTGAATGATTTTGAAATGTCTGAGCTTTTGTGCCTTTGTAACACCCTAACTCTGACTTCACCCAGCACCCTACTGAATAATTGCTGTTGATCAGATATTTCCCGCTCTTTTGAGAAGATGAGTCACAGTCAGACCCCAGCCGTGACTCAGGTGTGAGTCACAGAAATGACTTGCCCCTGTGAGTCACATGACAGTCCACTTCCTGTACCATGAAATTACAACTCGAAGAACAAAAATGTGTCGAGGAATACGTACAAATGCGTGCCTGATGAAAGCAGAAGAGGAACCAGTGGAGGTGATAAAAATGATGATGGTTATTGTGGTTCAAGTTGTGTGAAATTGAGTCAATATAATAGCTATGATTTAGTTTTTTATGTAACATTACTCTGCTAACAAAAAGAAGATCTTTGCAAACAGTGAGTCACAGGTGATTATACTGTGTCAACATCAACTCTAAACGAACATGAACAGTATGCATTTGACTCTGGAGATAAAATGTTCCTTTTTTTTTAAGTGTCTTTCAAAATAATCTTGCTATTTCTAAATCAACTCATCTGATTTGCAAGACTAAAGGAAATGACATAGTTGTATCAGAGGGTATTACAGGATATTGCACACCAGTTACGCAGAAATGATTGAGTCACTGCCCGCACCTCACTCTGTGGGTCCCCTCCAGGGAAAGTATGAATCCCAAGAGGGCTCTTTTCATTTCTCTCACTGACAAATCTCATTTTTCAAGAAACACAACAAATCCACAATCATCAATGTTTCTTCAAAAGATGTGTTTGGGAAACTATAAATCTGGATAAAGTTTCACACTCTTATTTAAGGACTGCTTTCTTACCTGTTCATCGTTCCTGTGCCTCACCGAAGCTGTAGTGTTAGCAGCCGCTCTTATGACACCTCGTCTGAGCATATGGGACTGGGAAGGTGGTTGACCCAGAGGCCGTACCCCTGAGACAGTGGGGTAAGGAGGTACTGGTGATCTTGAAGGGCCTGGAGGATGCATGAGAGAGGGCTGAACCAACCACTGGAGGTCCTGGTTGGTTGTGATGGCATTGAGGCTTGGTACAAAATGACTACTGCCTGCCATTGTAAATTTCTATAAAACAGATTCAAAAGAAAACGGGAATAGAGTTAGTGGTCAAGCTTAGATGACTGATTATGATAATTATGTTAAGTTACATTGATTTTAACTTTTTATTACAGGCACATACAATATAATAACCTTTATAACTATCCAAAATACATATGATGTGACATTAATAGTACCAACAGGTTTATAACATTATAGATTAAAAATCACAACTTTTACAGTTTAGTTAAATTTCTGTTACACTGATTTGACACCTGACTGTCGGGGATAACCTGTAGCCTGGTTTAATTAGAGTACACCTACCTGCTCCGGTTGTGTAGTTGAGGTGCTGGTGCTTCCCAGGGACCCAGAGCCGCTGCTTGTGTACGGGGGGTTGCCTCGTTCTTGACTCCCAAAGTTTCGATACATCCTTTCTATTCAAATGAAAACTCTACACAGTTGGGGCTTTACGCAGTATCTTTCAAGAGTCTCGTGTGTCGATTCGGTCTGAGGGTAAGCCCACCTTATTGCGGTAAACGGGTATAATCCAAACTAGTATGTCGTTAAGGGGGGATAAGGAAGAAAAAGATAGTGTCGCCTTTTTCAAGTCGCGGTAGACCTGCCGGCAATGATCTTCAGTTTATCCTCTGGTTTTTTGTCACACATGTAGAAGCTAAAGTCTGGGAACGATTGTGAAACTGTAAACTCTTAAAGCGCGACTACAGGCTCGCCACACCCCCCTGTAGTTACGGGAAGTAGTGCAGTCTGGAATCGCTCACGAACTCATCACGTGCCATGACGTCATTAACCATATTTGGTGAGAGTTTCCTCCTGAGAGCAATACACGGGATCCCTCAGGCGGCTCCACCTCATGCCTCTGATACTAGTTTTTCTGTTCTCTAAATCAGTGGTGGAAATACTATGACACCTTTCCTCTCCAGTGGAAGTACTCACTTACATAATATTTTGTTTAGACTAAGCATACTTTTAGGAAGTAAAGTATGACTATGTAAATTGTAGGCTAGTGAGCTGTTTATTTTTGTTGTACTTTTAAATGACACTATTGGATGTTATTATTACAGTTTTCAGCCAGCTAGCCTAAAACAGTGATGGAAGATGTAGGCCTTCTCAGACTATTTACTTAAGTAAAAGATGGAGTTAATGTTAACTCACTTATAATTTGAAGTAATCAAGCCTATACTGCTGGGCAGCTTGTGAATTTCCCAGTCCTATGATTATATATAGTATATATTGTATTTAGTTGTATTAATATCATTCTGAAAAGTACCATTGAAAGTTATTAAATAAATGTAGAGGAGTTAAAGGTGTAATATTTGCCTATGAAATGTAGTATAGTCAAAGTATGAAGTAGAAAATCACAAAAGTACAAATACCTCAAAATTACTTCACATAGTACTTGAGTAAATGTAATGAGTTTCCAACATTAAACTAGTATTAAAAAGCTGAGTGGACAAGCTGTATTGCTGTAAAATGTAAATATATGAAATACAAAATAGAGGCAAATTATTATTCTCTTTATTGTTGCAAATGCATGCATAGTTTTTCCCATTTCCAATGTTTATGCTGAGTTTGTAACAATTTAATAATCAACACTATTTAATGGAAGTTAAAAGCATCCCACTTATTAAAGCCATTTATCAAAGTGAAATTACTGGCTTTAAATTCACACAGTGACTAAACTTTTATCATTAATGTGTCATTAATTTTAAGCTAAATTGCTTTAAAATGTTAACTTTTCAGAGTCATTTCAGAACTTATGTTGAATTGATGAAAACATGTATTCACCAATAGATAATTTTAACTGCAATAAGTTATTACTGTGGTCCTCTAATACCTCACGTTAATGTGAAATTTACTTTTACATAAGTATATTTCACACTTTGTTTCATTATATAAGCTAGCTGTCAGTTAATACTCTTATAATGGGAAAAACAGCCTGAAGACAGAAATGCTACTCAAACACTCTTAAAATATTGTAAATATGGATTCATTTCAAGGTTATGTATATAAGATTACTACAGGAATGGTTATGAAATTGATTTAAAAAGTGTGGGCAAAGCTGGGTGCATGCACTTAATTGTGTCAAGGCTTTTGGCAGCCACTCTCACTTTACAAACCACATCACTGTGCGTGCATGCCTGTAGAGATGAGTCAGTTAATTGCCACAAAGCTGCTCAATTATTTCAACATCCATTTCGATGACTGTTTTTTACATGCAAGCACAATATAGTACCTAGTAAAGATAAAAAAAAATGCATGCTGTAGAGTCGGTAAGCTTAGTCTATCACAACAGCTGCTGACCTTGCAGTCTCTGAGGACAGAGTTCCCGGCAAAGGCTGAATTCTCCTAGCTGCTGACAGTTGATTCAGTGTCTCCGGTTACTGCTACTTTTCCTCCTGGGAATAAGGATTGTCAGCTTTTTGTCAAAAAGTCTCTAAGTTAATTGCAAAAACAGTTTCTACTCTATTCACAATGTCTCCCTTGCCTAAGAAATTGACAATGATGATAAATACTAATAATAATAATAATAAATGACCCTTGTCTAAGTGAGCCATTGAACTGTGGGTTTCAGTTTCATCATAGCTTATGTTATGATGAGAATGAGAGCAGAGACAGTAAATAAAAAATAAAACTGCCAGTAGCATGACATTTTACAAGGCACCTGCTGCTCACTGCTGATTCTCACTAATTTAACCAATATCACACTCCATAAAAATGAGGGATGTTTTTATTTCTTACTGTGATTGATGGTATTATATGAAAGCGATATGGTATAAAGGTGAGTGTCGTATGACTAAAGCTCCAGGAATGTAATGATGACACAATTGGCAACTGGGACATGTCACAACATGCTGGCTATCATTTTCCTTTCCCATTACACCTTGACTGTTTCTTTTATGTTTTATTTCACCAGGAAAATCCTGTTCAACATGCATTCCAATTAAAATAAACATCTTTTTATGTTGATATTAATTTTACATTGAGATTGAGTCTTCTTGTCTTCTGTTTCACTCCAATTTTTTGCCTCCAAAAGTTGCCATTTTCTGTGGTGAATAAGGAAGTTTAGATTCCATTACAACTTACTCACCCTAAAAACCTCCACATGTACTCATATAACTCATCCACATCTACCCACCCATCCACCCACTCATCCCACGCACACATAGTTAACAATGTCCTTGTGCCACATGCACTTTTATATACTTGGTTAAATGGATGTAGCATTTCATGGCTTTTCAAATCAGTGCAGTTTTAAACATGTCTGGACCAAGACAGTACTGATTGTCCTGGACATGTACAGTTAAGGTAATGTTGACAAACTGGATGTACTGTATGTCATACTTTGGCCAATTAACCAATTCTACAATTAAATTAGGAGCAGTTTGGAAAGGTCTTGGGAGCAACTCATTGGGTCTGTTTTAAATCTCAGTAGACCCTCTAGGGGATGAAAAGAAATCAAGTAGAGTAGTATAGATGTATTAGAAGTAAAAACTAAAAGCCAGTGAGTGGGGAAAAAACAGTTATCCAAGTTTTTCCCTATCCTTTTGTTTATCCTCATAGAGGGACAAATTAATGTTTATATTCATTGTGCTTACACAAATGGGACCCTGTAGCCCATGTAAAACTGTTGAGGTATTAGTAATCCAATGTTATTAAATAGCAAATATCAAAGTACTGTACCAGCATTGCAGTGGAACTAAATTTTACTGTATTATATGGACACCCCTATAGTAGTTTATTATTTAATGAAGTCAAATAGATTTATATTGAAAAAAAAAACCCTTAATTTTCAGAGTATGTATTAACTTCAATCTTAAGGGGCACACACAGCAGAGTAAAAAGTGTAGCAGTGCTCTAAAATGTAGTAAAGTAAAAATAGGGCTTATAAAGTTGCTCAAAATGAAAATATCCTACTCAAGTAAAGTACAACTACCTCAAAATTGGACTTGAGTTCTAGAGTAAATAAATTGGGTTAATCTCCCATGTTTGACTTATTATTTTGTATATCTACAGATAGAGGGTGTAATATGTTGTTCAGATTGTAAAGCCTTCTAAGGCAAATTTCTAATTTGTGCCTTTATGAGTAAAAAAAATGACACCTGTAGCGAGTATAAAAAAAGAACTGTAAGGCTACAACCAACAGTTATTTAACTGTAAAACATTCTGTTAAGTGGGAAGTATTCAGAGAAAAAAAAAATATAAAGTGAGCAATATATTTAATCATCCAGCAATTTGTCTCACAGCGTTCCAGAATATTGTAGAATATACCAGCATATCACATTTTGCTTAAATATTTCCGCTATAATGAAGGAAACGCCAATCAGATTTGTCTACAGTTGTGTCAGTATTATATTCTGCTCAGATGTCTGTAGCAGTTAATGTTGCTGTCCTCACAAACAGCCAAGCATGGACAGAAAACAGGAAGGAAAACAACACAAGGAAATGAGAAATACTTCTAGATGTGTGTATTGGTACAACAGTAAGCTCTGTGTTGTACTTGTGTTCTGCCACGCAGGCACACTGAAGTCAACCAACCACAGAGCATGGGTGGGATCAGCCCGAGCACGGATAGCCACGTAGCTAGCTACCATCGTTATCTGTGTAGGCAAGTGCTCGTGTCGGTCTATTTTCTTCATAATAACATAGTTATTCTTCACACAAGTTGTGTGGACGTTTAAGACGGTATTGACGAAAGTATTTATATCGGCTGCGTTATTCCGCCGAGTATCAGCTGAATATATGACTGTATTAACTTAGCTCGTCTGGCTAGGTAGCTAGCGTTAACTAGGCTCAGCAGTGTTTACCCTTAAATACGTTTATACGTATGTTACCTTAATTTCTTAGCTAGCAAGTATTAGTATAAGAGGGTTGCAAGCTAGCTTCTTATTGATATGAAGTTATTTACGGCTGTCAATGTAACTGTGACATAACAGAGCTTTATTTAGCTAACGTAGCTCAGGAAGATTAACAAAGCTGAAATATTGATAACGTGTCACTGTTTTTGTTTTAAGCTAACGCCAGTGAAAGTTACAATGGACTTACCACACCATGGGTACAGAGCAAGTAAGTGGAAAATGAACCAGTTTTGAAAATGCTTGCAAAATATCCATTCATTGTACGTACTTGCTATTTTCTCGGGCACACAGAGCTCATTTAACACAGCTGGTACTGTGCTGTGATAATGAAACACAGTCCTAAGGTGCCAGTTCTTTGGGTACACCCAACTATAATGCAGTCTAATATGCCAGTACTTCCATAAATCTGACAATCGTGTGGGTTATAATATCTACTGCTACTGAAATATAGTATTCTGGCAACAATTTGAGCACTGAAAGTACAGTGATGCTTTAAAAATGTCATCAATAGTTTGATTTATCAGTTAATACAACATACAGAAATACAACCTAATTCAAATCCGCATTTACTGAGATCACCTTTTATTTTATCAGCACCAGTTTTACACTTACACACTGATTTTCAAGATACCTGGCTCTTTGCTCTGAGCAGCAGTAGAATTTGCCACAATTTTTTGTGGATTTAAGCTGTTTCAGAATCAGAATTGGCTTTATTGGCCAGGGGTGACAGACACACGAGGAATTTGACTCTGGTACATCAGCTTTCAATGTGCGAACAGTAAACCAGCATAAGGCTGAGTAATATAACAAAGAAGCAGTATTAACAGCAACATTGGCAGCAGAAAACAATGCAGAATAAGCAGCATAAACAGACAGTAAACATTGTTTAAATGCATTCTGTGCCCACTCTGGACTCTGGCTGCATGTCTGGGGTTCTTATCATGTTGGAAAATAAATTTGGGATCAATCAGGTGTGTCCCTGATAGTATTGTCTAATGGATAAGAAGCTAAACAACTAAAGAGCTTAAAACAATTGCACAGTACAAAATGTCCATAAGTTTGAATTAAGACAAATATTGAACAAAAACAAAATTAAAATATTGGATTTATTGCTGAACTGCAGTTTTTTTTTTGGCTATACTGCAATAGCTTTAGCTAAGGGTATCTAATAAGCTAGGAACTGTGTGTAAACTTTGGAGGGCTTTGCCGATCGTTCATAGCCTTGTAGTTCTAACAATGAAAGTGGTCTGATTTTTAGAGTAATTGTAGTCAACTAAAAAAAAACCTTCTTACAAAAACTATGCAATACAGCATTGATTAAAGGTCCTTAATTATGGAGCATTGTTGCTATTTTGCGTAAGGAAAGATGATATGTTTGAAATGTCTTAAATGAAGGATAAACATATTGGTTACGTATATAAAAAGCTAGTAACTCACTGAATAAGTGACATATCACCAAAGTCATTTTTTATGATTTGATATAAATTTAAATGGCCTCCATCTTTTCTATTGTGTCCTTGTTTTCCACAGCTAAACCAAGAGCTCGTGCAGCTCCCCCCACAGCAGATTCTGTTCTCTTTGAAGACACCAGCTCTGCTGCATCAGCAATGCCCAGTCAGGGATTCTACACTCAAGCGTACGATATGGGGGAACCCTCGAATAACATGCAGGGAGGTGCTGGGGTGAACAACCTGTTTACTGACCCTGTGGCCAATGCTGCAATGATGTATGGCTCTTCTTTAGCCAACCACGGGAAAGATATGGTAAACAAAGAGGTGAGAAAAATCAGGATATGCAGGTTGCTTCAGTTATGATATATGGTACAATATGTACCCTGCCTCTCGCCTACAGCTGGCTGGGATTGGCTCCAGCCCCCCATGACCCCGTTTGGGACTAAGCGGTTTGGAAAATGGATGGATGGTGCAATATGTACCATACAAAAGAAACAGGAAGATGTCACCACAAACTAAGAATCAGTGTAAATTTCATATAAAATAGCCTCTTTTCAGATATCAAGTAACAGGTTAACTTCCTCTTTTCTTCAGTAGTGGAAGTAAATGAAGTCTTGAAAGCTGATAACGACAATTCCTACAGGTGTCCCAACCTTTGCTGATGACTTACAACAATAGATTCTGTCTGTACAAAGCCAGTGTTGGAAAAGATAGTATTACTACTCCCTCTGAAGCACTATTTGGAAGAAGGCCATTAATAAAAGAAGTCAGAGCTTGTCACGGTTTCATCCTATCATAACAGGATAATGACTCAAAAAAATTTTCAACATCTCCAGGCTGTGTAGAAGAAAAGAGCAAGTAGGCTTCAAAGGATGGACTGGCAGCACAGTGTCGGACTTTCCAGATGAAGAGCGAAAGCAAAGCAACCTACAAGCGCAATGCATTTATGGCTGTCTGTCCAAACAATAATTGGTTTCAGGTATAGAAAGAACCCCACAAATGTGTTTGGATATTGACTCAGAGTGAACATAATGAAAAACTGGGGTGATCTAAAACTTTTGACTGGTAAAGTAAGTGATATCTCTAAAAACAGGGATATAGGCTAATCTCAAATACAATAACAATTTGTTTTACAACTGTGAAAAAAGGAGATGTTTCCTCTGTTGAAGTGATTATCTTTGTGTCAATTCATTTTAATTCATCCCAAAAAGTGACTCTCACTTTCATATGTTCATAATTTTCTTCACCCAGGAAAAAAGGAAGAACAATTACAATATATATATATATGTATGTACAACTGTGCATATAAATTGAACCAGTGTTGTACTACTGGCTTTGCAACTTTGACACACAGGTGGTTCAAAGTACATAGACTGGGTGTCAAGAGAAAATGATACACAATCCTGAGGGCAGGCACAACCTTTTATTACTGTGACTCAACTGCATTTATTAACTTTGGCAGACTGTCACTGCTCATCTGTTAATATTTGCACCCTTTTGCCTTTCAGATCAGCAGATTCATGTCCATGAACAAGCTGAAGTACTTCTTTGCCGTTGACAGCAGATACGTGCTGAAGAAACTTATAATCCTCATGTTCCCTTATACACATCAGGTAAACAGAGTCATTCATGCTGTTAGACTTCATCCTACATCAACGTACGGGATGTCACAAAACAATAGTTAAAGATAATATTCTGTGGTATCATATTTTCAACCACTTATAATACTGAAGCCACATAAACAAGATAATCAGTCACTACTCCAGATTTATTTATGAACATCATAATGCCGTGACTCCCAGTGCAGATATAAAAGTACATTGAGCGCCCTGAAGTCCCACACATTTTAACTTATCCAGACATTCTGTGCCCGGCTGTTGTACAAACTACACAGTGCAAACTCTCCATACAAGACCAGGGTCATCTAGTATGTATTGTTCAATCCTCAATACTATACTACACAGTATTTACTTAAAGCACAAGCCTATTGATACAAATCCTATGGCAAGATCAAAACGAGTATTGTCTGTGTAGCTAAAGCCTGATGTAGCTTATTTGTTTTCACAGTCTATTAAAAACGCATCAGTGAGCCACACCATTGCACTGCATGACGTGTTCCTTCATTGTCATGAGCACCAGTGGTGGAAAAGGTACTCAGAACCTCTGCCTAAGTACAAGTAGTACTATGACAGTGTAGACGTACTTTTACAAGTAAAAGTTCTGCATTCAAATATTTACTTAAGTAAAGGTTCAAAAGTATTAGCATCAAAATATACTTAATGAAGCATAAATAAAAATACTCATAACTTGTTATAGAATGGCCCATTTCAGAGGATTATTGTGTTCATCACTTGAATGTTGCAGCTGGTAAATGTGGAACTAATGTTCTTTTTTTCATAATGCTATTGCACTATAAGAGATTGGAAAGCTACTCTGTGGGGTCATTCATACTCCTCTACATCTGTGTGTTCTTGGTAGGACTGGGAAGTTCGTTACCATCGAGACACTCCACTGACTCCAAGACAAGATGTGAATGCACCTGATCTTTACATACCAAGTACGTTTTCAGTTAATACAGAATTACAGTGTCACTGGCAGTGTGCTTTGGGATGCCTGTAAGATGTATTAAGTGTACTTTTTGTGATTTAGCAATGGCTTTCATTACCTACATTTTACTTGCTGGAATGGCCCTTGGCATTCAGAAAAGGTGAGTTATTCTTCCTCATCTAATGTATTTTGTGACTCACAGTAAATATACTTGTTTAAATAAGGATTCTGTTTTGTCTTTGTGTAAAGGTTCAGTCCAGAGGTTCTTGGACTGTGTGCCAGCACTGCCCTCGTGTGGATCATCATCGAGGTCTTGGTGATGCTGTTGAGTTTGTACCTGCTGACAGTGCACAGTGATCTCTCAACCTTTGATCTCATCGCCTACAGTGGATACAAATATGTTGGGTAAATACACCTTGGATGCAGATATTTTAAAATTGATCAATGATTCATTACTGAAAAGCAAATGAGATTGTGATGATTTGTTAGAGCATATTAGAGCATATTACAATTATTAACTGCTAAATAAAAGATTTAGACAAGCTGATTATCCTGTGAAATAGTTTAAATATATTAGCTAATGTATTTAAATACATTTTAAAATGTAGTTTGGTCCATATTAACTGTTTGAATGTGTATGTTTTTGTTGTTCCTCTAGGATGATCTTTACAGTCTTGTGTGGCTTACTGTTTGGCAGTGATGGTTATTTTGTGGCACTTGTCTGGTCTTCTTGTGCGCTTATGTTCTTCATTGTAAGTATTTTAAGTCCTAATAGACATCACCCACTACATTTATAAATCTGATGTATTTATAGTAGAGAATATGTTTTCTTAAACACAAACCAGTTCACTTGACTAATTTCTGCTCAGAAAATGTGATTATTACACTACTATAATCTGGACCTTTAGCAATTTTACTGATGTGCGTGCATGTATGATGTCTTCTGTTTGAATATATTCTACATACTGGTAAAGTGGTAAAGTGTCATACCTATTTAACTCTACCATAATAAGTGAATGTGTTTCTGTATTGCACACACAAAATCAATAGGTTTGTGCTTTGTCCTATGATGAAACATCATGTGAAAATTAGACTGATATTCAGGGCAAGAACTAAATATATCAGCATTCAGCATTATCATTTGCTTCATTATTACACAAATATTACAAACAAATTGCAGAATAGTAACTATTAAACTTGTTTTTATTCCACTGCACAGATGAAGCTTCATTGTATGCGTCATCTACATTTACCCTAGTGAAATTTACATGGGTTTGATTTCAGTCTTAACTTACTAACTTAGAGAATATTTACTTCATCCTGGATTGCAGGTTTAAAGATGTTTCTATCTCCACAGGTTCGATCGCTGAAAATGAAGATTCTTCCCTCTATCTCGTCAGACACCATGGGAACAGGATCAAGTGCCAAACCTCATTTGCGCCTTTATATCACTGTGGCCACTGCAGTCTTTCAGCCAATCATTATATATTGGTTAACCTCTCACTTGGTCAGGTGACTTTAATAACCCGATGTTCAAGTGTTATTGGACCTAAAAACAATGTGCTTGTACACCTGCCCTTATATACTTTTTTTTTTTGTCAGTAAACACAAAACCTGTAGGCAGTGCTGAGCTGCAGTGTGTGCTCAGCTTGGCAGATGGACATATTCATAATCAAACACTTTCATTGATCTAACCACAAAGTGTGCCACAGAAAATGTATAAAGACTGTTGCTTTCCACTGTGAGTCCACAGTAACCCTGACAAATGCTTATTTTTGATCACCTAACTTTGAATACAAGGGTTTTCATTGAGAGATTAGTTTAATCAAACTTGGTTCCATTTCAAGTGTTACTGGACAAGCTTTACAGTATTTACAAGTCACAGCCAGAAACACACGGTTCAAGTACCATTTTTCTGCTAAGGTCAGTGTTGGTGCGTTATCTCCCCCTCTCTTGTGAATCTCTGATTTTATTTATCTATATTTGACAAAGCATGATAATGTTTGGATTTTTGTAGAAAAAATAAATATGTTTAGCTTTGAGTATTACCAAACTTGACAGTTTCTGAAATGTTTTTGTTCATCTACATTTCTAGACAATATTTATTGAGTTATTTCCTTATTGATTTTACTGAGACAAAATGACCACCGCTGCGTTGTTTGTAGTTATTCTTGTTTCTTTCAGTTTGGGGGCCCATTGTAGAAGGGGTGGAGGTCTTGTATGTTCCCATATCTCATAATCAGCCCATGATCATACTGTGTTGTTTCAATTTGTTAAGTTGTGGTAAGACCATAATGGGCTATCTCTTAGTCTTAGTGGACTACGTCTCAGGAAATGAAAAAATATTGATATAGCTACTTATTAAGCGTTCCACTTTTTGGTCCTCAAACTGGTGTGGGACGTACACTTGGTGCGAGAGCGCGCCGGGGAGTGCGCGCACCGCAGAGCGTCCTTTTCGTCTCCATGGAAACAGCGGACGGCAACAGAGCACGGGAGAGGTGTCCGACTCTGGTTTTCAGCACCAATCTCCACCAGGTTCACTGCTAGCTTTTCCCAGACGTGTTTTGGACATTTAAGGAGCCTGAAATAAGTCCGAATGATCGTTTTCTTAATTTGGTGAGTAAGGAGTCACTAATACGCGTTTGCAGCAGTTGCAAATGTCACCGAGGGAGATACCTGTGAGGGGCAAAGGCGGCTTTCCTGACTAAATGAAAATGT